TTGTTTGGGATCGGCTCCACAAGCTTTCCATCTTAATCTTATGTCTCAAAGCCCTTTCACCTGACAGTACTCACGTCTTTGGTTGGATAATGGCACCACTTTCTAATGCAGTTTCTTTTATTTATTTACACAGACGGAGAGGACAGTCAGACTCCTCCAGCGGCACGGTCCCTGATTTGAAAAGTCAAATGTCCACTGTTCAGAGAGATATTTGCTTACAGGGATTACAGTGATCCTCACTCAAAGCAAATGATTTGACATGGGACAGACTCACTGATGGTTCTGTTTTGGACTGTAAACATTTATTACATGTGCATTACACTACATTACAAGATCATGCTTTATTTATTCAGAGTCAATACAGTTATGCTATTTTGGATCTGTTATAATGTTGTTCCTCATCAAAAACATACTCAGAGTTGTGTTTTGTTTCATTCAAACATAACACACAAACCCTGCACATGTATTTTTATTTAATGATATTTGAGCTCTTCTTTCAAACAGAAAAAAACACCAACACTATTCCACCTTGTGATGTCATGCGGCAATACAGGAAGTGCTACACTGTGTTTTTAAATGCCATACACCTTCATTTGAATCATTTGGATAATTCTGGGAATTCTGGAATTGCAAATCTTTACTAAACAAAAGATAAAAGTTAACATGACATCACAAGGTGGAACAGAGCATTTTGAACTTTGGAGATTTAGACAGAGTAATAATAAAGGGTTACTCAAACATGTGTGAATGAAACAAAACACAGGTCCAGGTCTGTTTCTGAGGAGGTAACGGTATTATAACATGGCTTAAAGCCCATAAGAGTTCATTTTGTGTAATATAGGTCCTGGGTAGTTAAGGTGGCAGAGTGGTTAGCCTATAACTACAAAATCACTATTATGGTTTAGGTTAAAGCTGTACTATGCAACTTTTCTGGTAGAAGGTAGCTGTCATCTGCCTGTCTCTACAAATGTTCCACAGTAAGGCATTAAACTTCCATCCATCCATTCATTTTCTTTTCATTTTTCATTCATTTTCCGGGTTGCGGGGGCAGCAGTCTAAGCAGGGTCTCCCAGACTTCCCCCTCCACACACAAGCAACAACATCTCCATGGAGACAAGCAAAAAGGCGGGCCCTCCACCAGAAAAGTTACACAGTACACCTGTAAAGACAGCACTTATTACATAACTTCCTGTTTTCCTTGCCCATTTTTTTATTTTTTACTTTAACATTGCAGGAATTTACCTTGACAAGACTGAGCACATCTGTGAGTGTGAAGAAACCCTGAGTAATTCTAGAAAAAGGAGGAGAGCTACACTGTAAAACACAAACACAAACACTGACTGGACTCGTATTCACAATGTATTAAAATGATTTATCCACAATTATTTGAATAGACCTATTTGATTTGGATATTTCAGTAGCGTGTCCATTTGGCACTATTTTCTAGTGTATGTTGTAATGTAGTTTCCTCATCACAAACAGACCTGGAGTTGTGTTTTGTTTCATTCACAAACACACAAATGATTCTTCTTCTATCAAACAGAAAACACCTTGTGATGTCATGTGGTGATACATGCAGTGCTCCACTGTGTTTTAAAACTCCACACTCCTTCACTAAAATCATTTGGATGATTTAAGCACTGGAATTGCCAAACTGAACTAAAGGTAAAAGGAGCTGAAAACTGCCACCAGTATAGAGAATAGTTACTTCATTGTCTTTCTGATCTGTGCTTGTATGTGCCCTTTGTGCAACTGACCTTTTGATAATTGTGTGAGAAAATGTTCTATAGTCTTATTTTTATTTTCTCGTCTTCATGGAAATGTGATTGTTGTGCCTGAAATTTTCCACAGTACTGCATTAAATGTAGCTATCTCACATCTATCTTGAATTTAATTGCAGTGATTGGGAGCATGGTCACCCCTCCACAGATCTGATCTGGATAAACAGCCACATAAGTATGTGCAGACCCTCTACCAGAAAAGCTACATAGTGCAGCTTTAAGTAGTTGTTTTGTAATTATAAATATCATGAAACAAATGAAATCTAACTCAAACTCTAAATCTAACTAAACAGTTCTAAAATTCTGGTTAATATTAACTGAAGTAATTTCATTTAAAGCTACAGTATGCAACTTTCTGAAAGTGGCACAGAACCTGCATGTTTACATGGAAATAAAACATTTAAACCATACTGTATGAAGATACATTGTTATGGCACACTGTAGAAAATTATAGCCAAAGGAACCAAATTTCCATAGAAACAAGCAGGAAAAGGCCTCCACCAGACCAAATCAGAGTCAGGTTTGTGGAGATGCAAGCCCACTTGCAGTAAGGACAAATGTTTTCAGTTTCACTGTCACTTAAACTCATTCCAGATATTATTTTTGCAGTGTGAGCAGGGAAGGATGTAGGGAAGGAGAGAGGAGGAGGGGCCAGAGACAAAGGAATTTGGTCAGCGTGTGCAAACTGGCTACAAATGTTTTGTATGTTTGTACATGGTTAGCCCAATGATAAAACCAATGTAACCAGGAAGAAACTGTCTAATCTGAAATGCACTGATGTATGTGTGTGATACAGACTCTGAAGGCTAAACAGGAGTTTCCCACAGTTTCCCACAACAGTCACACACCAACCAGAGAGATCAGGAGTCAAACCCACAACCTCCTCACTGAAAAGAGGAGACAGGCTAACCACTCTGCCACAGTAATACAGTGACCACATCACAGCCTTTATAAATGGACAAAGCTAACGTTCACCTTCACGCCACGTTTCAAATCGGAAGTGTTCGTGGGCGAGCTTCGGGCTCCATCGACTTTGGCTCCAACTCACTTCTGAAAAACCATCGCTCCTCTCTCTGTAACTGCTGCTGTCAGGCTCCTCATTTTGGCCTTAAAATGTTCATATTAACCCGCTCTACATGATCCCGATGTTTTTATTTCACTATTTTGTCAGTAAATCAAGATATGAACATCAATGACAGACAAATCAAGTGCCTTCTTTCCTTGAATCAGTTTCTATTCCTAATATGAAACTGACTCCATATTCGCTCCTATAACTGCCAGTCTCAGTGAGCTTCGTTTGACTGGAGCCGAACGCTGTAGGTGTCGTGTCACTCACTTTATCCACTTCTTTACGCGGTTTGTGGAGGGCACGCACACTCCACTCAGAGAGATCAGGAGTCTAACCCACGACTTCCTACTGAGAGGAGAAGACAAAATAATTTGACTGATTGTCCAGCAGGAAATTGAGCTGTAACTTGCTCCCTGGTGCTGGTGAAGTATGTTGTTGCCGTGTTTTTGGGCAAAGCACACCTCCTGCCTTACCTGTATGTAAATGTCTCATGGAATCTCTTCATGTAAATAGTCATGAGACATATGTAAAGGGTTAGATCTTAATCTTGGTATTAGTCTTGTTCATGGGTTTCAGCTTGTTTAAAAAAGAGGTATTTTTAAAGCTTTCTGTCATGTTTTAACATTGTTCCCTCATCAAAAACATGCCTGAAATGGATTTATATTTCATCCATGCATGTTTGAGTAATTTACCGATCTCTCTCAGACCCTATCCAAACCTTTCTTAAGGTCAGCTGTAAGATTCTGTGCAAAGCTCCACCCCCTTTTATCTGAGAATCAAACCTGGGACTTTGTTGGTGTGAGGGGAGAGTGCTTGACATATTCCACCACAAGCCCACATGTAAATGCAGCTCCTGGGCTGAGAAAGAAGAGAAGAACAAATAAATTGCTTCTATTGTCAGCATGGTCAGTACTGAATGACCCATGACGACTGCATTTGAATATTAAACAAGTTATGACGCTGCTGGATGCAATAATATATAGGCCTTGTACACACACACACACACACGCACACACACGCACGCACACACACACGCGCAGGTTTGGTTTGTAATATTATGACTGCAAATGAACAAATCAATACAATAGGCACCTCATTATTTGTATATATCCAAACCCTTTTTCAGAGTTGTGTTTTTTTTCCGAATATGGTCATAAGGAAATGGCCAGTAGGATGACTTGCTTCTATGACCAAATATGGAGATCATCCATCACTTACCTGCAGCATGAGTCAAGCTGTGATCACCCGTACCTCTAATACATACATACACTATATATTGCACATATCATAATCCAGGCTACTTTTTCCTGTCATCATTCCGTGTTATTATTTTTTTTAAAGATGAACTATGTTACTTTTTTGGAGATGCTACTGCTACTGAAGATGTGTTAGATGTATAGCCATTAAACATACAGTATCTGTCTCTGTAGGGACAAGTAGATGATGTCACCAGGCCAAGTTACAAATCAAAAGGCTTAATTTTGCTTCTAAAACGGTCCCTTCTAAAATTATAATTTCGTAACTTGAACAATTACGATTATCTATTAACCAAATAATCAATATCTTATTTATAGCTGTACATTCGTCATTTATGGCTCCAGTTGTTAAAGCAGCATTGCGTAACTTTCCCGTTGGAAAGTCCATCAAATGCTTCCTCCATAGAGATATTATGTTATGGCATTAAACTTTTCTTTTCATGGAGACCAAATTAGTCCAAGTTACAGGTCAGGTTTGTGGAGAGGTGACCCCGCTCACAATCAGAATGTCTGTTTTTGTAGCTATAAAACCATCTGTAATTAATAAATATAAGGTAAAGCTGCTTAATCATATACTGAGGAACATTCCAGGAAGAGCAGTGACATAAACAGAAAGAAACAAGCAGGTGACAGACCCCCAACCAAAAAGTTACACAGTGCACCTTTATGCTTAAGTTTTAGCGACTGTTCTTAAAATATATTTCTTGAAACAAAGCAAAATTATGCATCTATATTTAAAAAGAACCGGTTATCTGTGTGGATCATAGGCTGTATACTGGAATAATAGAGATGTAACCTGGATGTGAGAGGGAGGTTTGTCGGGGAACGGGGCGGCACGGAGGGGCGGGGCTTCGCAGCAGACGGGCGGTGTCATCCGGAGAAAACTGCACCGCGGTGAGGAGTCTGGATCCATCCGACACGGGGACGCTCTCTCCCGGTGAAGATCTGCACAGGACCGCGCCACTGCTCCAGGTGAGAGACGGAGGACGGTTTTTTATTACTCTACAAACACAAAAATGTATTTAAAACGCGAATCTTTTGAAATGCACTTTGCAAAATTGTAATTCCCACAGGAGATGGATTCAAGTGTGCGTCAAATTGCTGTAGCGACATTTTTTTTGGTCACTTTTTGCATGGTCCCCAATCTTTGTTAGACCTAACGCTAAAATACTACTTAGCTTAACGTCAAGTACGACTATTTTTCCCATAAAGTTCGATCTGTAGTTTAGTATTTAATAACTACAAGCAAAATAAAGCAAAATAAAAGATTGTCCTGTTTTCCTTTTTTTTTTTTTTTTTCAATAGTTACCTTTCTACCTCAGTGTATTGCGTTAATTTCTTGGCATAAATATTACACACGTTTTAGCCTGTAGTTTTTTAGTCTGTGTTAAATGTCAGCACAATAGAAAAGAATACAAAGAGAAACTTGATTAAATGAATGAGCTTCCCCTTGGACAAATTACATTCAGGATTTCAATAAATTCTGAATAAATAACAGTAGATTTCGACTATTTAAGACTATTTTACCACATGTTTTAAACGTCAGACAGTATAAGTTGGTTAGTTAGTGTCGTTGCAGCTTTTAATTCCAATTATTTGCAGTAGAATTACTCGTTTTCTCTCCATCGACCTTGTTTTTGTGTATTATTTCATTGGGATATTGCATTTTGCTTGGCTTTGCAGACTGAAGAGTTTTTGCATAGACAGAGTGGGCTGAGGTGGCTGCAGGACATAAGCAGCATTGTGCCAGACTAATAATGTTATCTGTCATTAGAGAGGAGCGTTGTGGAGAGAAATAAGGCGCCATCTACAGGGAGTTAGTGGTAAAACAGAAACAAGTGCAGGTGCAGTTTGTGTTGGATCAAACCTTGAAAGTCAAATAATATGGAATAAACAGTAAGTAATAATTGTATTTAAGACCTGGAAGACAAGGAATCAAATATCTGTCTTACTTTTAGTCAATTACAGGTGTTTTCATGAGTCAAAACAACATAAAAAAAAACATGTATTCTTATTGTGCCTCTCTGGCCTGGTGGCATCTCTTTTTTTGTCTACATGGAGATAGATAGTATATGACAAATCTGTAACATCTTAACCTCACCAGATGATCTTTAGGCTCCGGTGTGAGATAGTATTTTGACCCCCATAGAATATTGACCCCGGGGTCGACATCGCGCATAGTAAAGTGACCCCCCCCATAGGATTTTGACTCTCCTTACTTTTTTCTTTAGTAGTTATTTATCTGATCATTATTTCTCATGTCATTTACTTTTATTATATATTGCTACATATTCACTTTCTTTTAAGGTATTTTAAGGAATGTTTTGATGGATATCGACTTGATATTTTGTGTAAATGTAACGTATTGTTAAAATTGCATATACATAGCAATCTTGTCACTTTTTATATTTGCATTTTACATTGTTATGGTTTTTGATTTGCTATGTTCAGATAATCCTTAATCATAATGTTAATTTAGGCAGTGGTTTGTAAGGATAATGAATGTTGTGTTATAATAAACATACTGGCGGGTCATATTACTATAGCCATCGGATTTTGACCTCCTTTATATATAATAGATCATTGTCAATATTCAACTAACATTACTTCTTCTTACTTCATCATAATAACTACAATAAACATATTGGAGGGATCAGATTACTATAGACATTGTATAACCTATTTAACTACTCAACTGATCAGCCCTGTCTATTTTAACAAGATTCCAAATCATTAAACATCACTTTGATGACCTAACCCATTAATAACTACTTATCTCATTTTCAGTAAAATATGTGTTTAAACAACTAAGTAATTTTTAACATTCAAAAGTTATAATCGACATAAAAAATTAATCTGAGTTCTTCAAAAAACACTTATAAATATGTCAATATGTTTTAATTTGCAGATATAGTATTAATATTCAAAGTTTTTTTTTATAGAATTCAAGTTTTTTATTAATAAAATATAGATTTTCATAGGGGGCTCAATATTCTATAGGGGGGTCAACATACCAGAATAGGGTTCTACAGTTTGGTGAGTTGGGTCAAAATCCTATAGCACCGGCTGAAGCATTTGCATGTGATGTGGAGATTCAATGTGACTAACTGAACACTCACAGGGCAGCTCTGTAGTTTGGAGAGAAGCCAGCGCCAAATAAACCAAAACAAACATGGTGGCTCCAACAAACTTACTTAACTTACTTACAGACTTTGAAAAAAATTATATCGTGCAGAGGGAAAAGCTTTATGCATTGTGGAGGAAAATGTGTCTGTGCTTTTCTCTTTAACTAACTTTCTTTAACTTAAGTTTTTGGCTCGTTCTTGTCTGTTGTGAAGCCTGGTCAGCTTGGAGAGAGCCCCCACCCTCATTTCAGAGGGTTACACATATTAATTTATTGAGAGCCAGGTTAGTAACATCTCTATAATATACAAATCTGTCTGAAATGTTGTACCGCCCCCCACCATAACTATTTTAATCAGCAAATTTTTCTAAACGATATTCACAATGTTCATATATTCAAAACATCATGATCATTTGATAAGCTGCCCTCCTCTAAGTAAAAGTAATATATGTAGCAGCAACTGTAATTATGCTCTTATATAACCCCCACCAAAATTGACATCACTGTCACATAAATACAATTACATGTTAGTCAGTGTTATGAATAATGCTTTAACTGTAACACATCTACTCTGGCTCGTCTTTTACATCGATCTGTGTCTCATCTGTAGACCTGCTGTCTCTGATCTGCCTCTGGTCATTTACAAGGACATGCTTAAAATGCAGAGGACAGACTGAAGCCAAACTACTGTGGAGAAAATGGGACTGAAAAGACGTTTGTGGTGTCTATCTCAAACATCCTTCACATTGTCTTTGAAATTATGTTTTCTTAATAGCAACTATACGTCTTCACTGGGCTGTCAATGTAAAGAACTTAAAGCTACTTTTGCCTTTACCTGGAAATAAACAGTGGCTGACTGACACAACAAGAAGGTTTTGAGTGCGATCCCCAGGTCACCCAGGTCGTTCTGTGCAGAGTTTGCATGCTCTCCTTGTGTCTGGGTGGGTTTCTCCCAGGTAGTTCTGAGCTAAACTTGCTCAAAATCTGGATATGGATCCCACTGGTCCTGAGGAGATGCTCCAGTTTGAAAAGCTTGAAGGATGGGTCAAATGCAGAGGACTAAACAAAAGTGTACCTTAACTTTAGCCATAACAAACTGAGGATTACAGTATGCGATTCAATTATACTATAATATAAGCAATAACCATGGGTAGTGGAAGTCGGTTGAGGCGAGGGGATAAGGGCTGTATCATATCTTGGTACATCACAATTTTAGTTTCAGTATTATGTCCAGTGACCCACAGTCTCCAGTAGGGGAAGACCATAGACTGTATAAAAAAGTGGACTAAGTGAGGGTGACGTCACCCATAGCGTTCAGTGGCACTCAAATGAAGCGCACAATGATAAAAACATCAGGATGATGTAGCAGGTTAGTAGGAGCACTTTAAGACCAAAATGACAAGGCTCACGGCAGCAGTTACAGAGGGAGGCGTCACAATATTCCAATGTCAGTCAATTCCTATTTGGAATACGAAGCCTAGTGTGCTAGCTATGTTTATTTATATATATATAGTCTATGGGGGAGATTAGCCCGAACTGCCCCCAGAGCACCTCCTTCTATGGTTAATGTTAAGGTACACTGTATTGTCTACATAGTGAAATTTGTCCTTTGCCTTTGACCCATTCTTCAATGTCTCTGTGTCTTCCTTGGTCAGGACTACTTTAACTGGAGGATTTGACCTGTTGTGCATGTTTTGAGTCAATGGAGGAAGACGTTTGCCTAACCTAGTGCCTCCGCTCAATTTCATTTCTCTCCGGCAACTAGGTCAAGAATCGGACGGTTTGCAAGAACCCTGGAAGTTGTAGACTGTGCACCGGCCATTCAGCGAAGAGCTGTGAAGCCATGACGTCAAACTCAAGTGCCTCTCTGGGTCCCTTTTGTGGAACAGCACAACAGTATACAAACCAGTTGAGATGGATGTAGACGAAGACAGACATTCTGTGTTGGCAACGATTCGCGAGATCGAGGATTTTCACTCTCTTGGGTGTTTGCTGTTGTGCCAGCGGTTACTTGGACACCACTGAGCGTTCTGATGCAATACATACTTCACAACCAAATAGCAGCAATTGGTTAAATAAAAAAAAGTACCCGTCTATCGTCGAACGAACGAATCCTAATGCTGTGAGGTCAGACAGTTTCCACGAAGTGAAACCAGCTGATGAATCAGGCTAGGAAGACCCAGACTCATCCATACCCAGGGAGAACGCTCCACACTCACACACACACTCCAAACAGAAAATTACTTAGAGTCAAACCTGGAACCTTTTTGCTGTGAGGTGAGAGTGTAACTTAACCATTGCCTTGATTGTTGTGGGTTAGACTCCTGATCACTGTGAGTAGAGCACTGTAGGTTGGGTCAAACACAGCCTCCTAAAACTCATTATACAGATTGTACAAACATGCAGTATTCTTGTTTTTCATAAATTATTCAAATCCCCCTGCACTGAATAGACACATGAAACCAATGTATTTATTTAGGCTTCGGCCCTGTCCAAACCCTATATGTGAGCAGTGTATACAAAGGGCCCATATTACACTAGCTTCTGATCTCTGTTACTCAAAACACTCTGTTCCACCTTGTGATGTCATGTGGCAATATAGGAAGTGCTCCACTGTGTTTATAAATGTCCTATATATTGGCTCTACTCACGCTTACGTCACAAACCAGGAAGACGTTTGGAAAGATGTGATTACAACTTCTCAGGCCCAGTTTTTCTTCATCTAAATGCAATTGTACCATTCTGTTATGTTTGGCTAATCAACAATTACAACCGTACCTTAGTTTTCATCATTTCCCCACTGACGCACAACTCCGAGCGCACAGGGTACATGTGATTAGAAGAGACG